AGGAATGCCTTTCTGAAAACTGGTACTCCAGGCAAAGGCTGGGGTTGAGGAGAAAGACCAAGATCTGTGGTTCAGAAGACTCAGGGCATCCAGGGACTCGCACCCACCTCCCAAATGCCAGGGCCTGAGTTAGGTGCCACAAGCTTGTGGGTCATATTGAAGGGTCACCACACAGAGCATGCACGTGACCTGCTTTAAACACCGGATTGTACTCTAATATAAAGGGATCCAGAATGTCCCCTCGCCTCCAGCTTGGGCCCAGTACTGTCTTCCCTCTCCTCACTGCTGACCTCTGTCTGGAGCTGTCTGAGGCTGCCCCTTGTCGCCAGCATCACGTAGAAGCCCCGTCACAGCTCTGCCTATGGTTGACATGACGCCATCTCCTGGGCGATCACCTCAGGGAAAAGACGCAGGTCCTTAAGACATCCTGTCCACTTGAGGTATGCACCAGGGACTCCATGGAGGGGCACTCAGAGAACCTCCTCCATTTTCACAAGAGCTCCTTTTATTTATTTATTTATTTTGCTATAGGGCGCGTGCGCTCGCCAGACAGACAGAGAGATAGAAAGCAAGAAATCAGCCCCCAGGGGGGATGGTCACGCCGCAATCCCTTCTCCTCCATTCTCCTCTCGGGATCTTGGGCACGCACGCACATGCGCCCGGCGTGAGTTTAAGCCACCGGGTCCGGGACACGAACTGCGGTCGACTACGTGGGAGTCCAGTGACATAGCCATTATGCTAACTGCTGGTCCCAAGAGCGCCTTCTTTCTGCTGTTCTCCAGGGAGTCCTGCCTCTCTTCAACCCAGGCCCTCATTCCCCATTGTCCTGGGGTGGCGACTGCTCCTCGCCCCTGTTGACCCAGTCTCCAGGCTGCCCTGCAGGATTTCTCCAGACAGGGACCCCTGAGGATACCCCTAAAATCTATTCTGTCCATGTGCAGTTATCAAGGGCCCCAGGAGTACTCGCAGCGTCCTCATGGCTATCCTTCAATCACAGTCCTGAGTCCCTCACGTGGTGAGAAAACTCTTTGTCCTAAAGGAACACGGTGAGCCTTATCTCTCCCCACCCATTCTCCTGTGACCTTTCCGTGAGGCTCAGGCTTGTTGCAAAACAAATTCAACTGCTTTTGCCTATAAAAGAAACCGACCTAGGAGACAACCAGGACAGATTCTAGGACCCTGAAACCATTTTGGCACAGTGACACCTGTAGAAACAAGGCCTCTTGCTCACTGGGACCCCAGGCTGGGGCTGGACTTACGGAAGGCTGTGAAGAACTCGCGGAGGGTCAGGGAGCTGTCACTGTTGTAGTCATCAAATCGAAGGAGGTCACCTGGCGAGCAACCGAGTAAGTCCTCATCCAGGTCCTGCTCTTTCAGCACGTGCTGTGGGTGAGGAGTGGGACGGTTAGATGTAGGGTGTGCTCAGAGTCCTGACTCTGCTAAAGAATGACTCAGGCTGAGTGGGGACTCTAGGGACAACTCTGTGGGCCTTGGAGTGCACCAAAGTTCTTTGAATTTGTCTTATCCACCCCCTCTCATTTTATATAAGAGAAAACTGAGGATTAGAGAGGAGAAATAACTTCCTGAAGGTCACACAATGATTGGGTCAGTTCTGGACTAGAGCACTGGAGTGTCTTCTCATCTAAACAGATATCTAAACAGATAGACCTCAGGCAGTAGGAGATGAGTAGGATCCTGGAGGCCATCTGGTCTACCCCTTTGTGCTACCAATGGGGAAACAGAGAAGAAAATAGCCAGCAAATAGTGGCTGACCTCAGCATGGGAACCGAAGTCAGCTGGCTCCTAGCTGCGTAGAGCTGGCGGTCATTGTTCCCTTGATGGACCAGTCCCCCAGCCCTTAACAATGGCAGGGCAGTGTCTCTGGGCCACAACAAGCTCAAAAGAGAGGGCAGCTGCCATTCTGCTGAGCTAGCCTCAGTTTTTCCAGGCAGAAGATGCTCTTGGGATTCTGGCCTGAGGGCTCCAGCTAGGCCTCTTTGAGGTTATGACCTGCACTGCACAACACTGAGGCCTCCCCGGCATGACCAGCCACATACATGACAAAAATAACCACAGGAGAAATCCCACACACCCTCCCTCAGCAGGACTCAGAGGTCAGGGTGCCCAGCCAGAGGCTTTACAAGGAAAATGCTTGGAAGGAGAAGAAATGATTTTATTTTTGAGGGGAGAGGGGGACAGGACCTTTTTCTCTTTATTTAACGTTCTCAGCTTGGCCTGCTGTATTAAAGGCAATTTAATGTGATAGTGTTAAAAAAATGACCCTTCACCCAGCAAGTAGGAGTGTTCGATAAAAGGGAGATCAACCATAACGCTCGAAATCAATCTTCCGAAGATGGAAATTTCCCTTTGTCTATTTCTGCACTGGAAATTGATTAACTTTTCATAAGCCCAATGAGTTTTTTCCTGGCACCTTTGATTCAGTGTCAAGGAAAGGCCTACTTAGCTGGGATCTGCTTGGCAGATTTATGAAATGGACTTTAAATATATTAAACTTTAAAGAGGAAATCATAGTCCAATTACTATGCTTGTTAATAGCTTTGGGTGCCTTGGGCCACGATTCTGCTAGGTTATGGCAACGTGAGCAGGAAGATTCTGTTTACCTGGTAGTTATCGGGGAGATTTGGGAGCCTGGGGTGCCAAGAGCTTACTGCAGTCCCTGCCCAGGGCATGCTAATGCCACCTGTCCTCGGGGCTCCCTGCACAGCCTGGAGTGTGGAGACTTGCCAAGTGGTTCTCCTGCAGGCAACTGCACTTAACAGGACCTAGTGTTTTCCCAGAGCAGCTCTGCTCACCCACGGGTCTCTAGCCCTGCCCCTTTGGGCCTTAGCTGAGTACTGACAGAGGTGGTGACATGCTGGCTGGGTGTAGCTTGGAGTCCATGAGCAGCAGGCCTTGTGGGATGCAGCACTTGAATGGGCTTGTACCTACTGCTCAGGTGTGAGCAGAGGGGAGGAATCTGAGCATGTATTCCCAGCATGCTCCCTGCTCCCAGGAGAGGAGCAGGAGAACTTGCAAGGAACACGCTGTCCCCACAGGTTGCTCCAAAGCTTGTCACAAATAGTGGCTAAAGGTGAATGGTAGGAAAAAGAAAAGGATGTAAGGGTATCTGTAAGATGTTCCCAGAGGTGATGAACACAAGCTCTCTGAACTCCAGGAGCGGCGGGAGTGGGGGCTGAGGAATCCCTCTTATAGGAGGGTGTCCCCTTGGCATCCTGTGACAGGGACAGCTACACACAACTGTCTTCATGTGGCCTTCCCATGTTTTCAATGTACGTGCTGGACAGAAACTGGACTCCCCCACACTCCGATTCCCACTGAATGTCGTGCCCACCTGGGCCAGCTCAGAGCTGCTGAGGAGGCCGTTGCCATCTGCGTCCAAGTCCTTGAACAGAGATTCCACGAGGAGGCGCTTCTGGGACACGGGTTCTAGTCTGCTGTCCCCGTCATGGAGAGGTTGTAGGTGGCTCTGGAGTGCCAGAAGAACGTTCTTCAGGCGGGCATACCCTGCCATGGTGCACGTGTCACCTGGAAGAGACGGGGAGGCTGTTGCAGTGAGACTTACCCCTTGGTCTTGAGAGAAGGTTTGTTTTATCGTCTGTCCACCTGCCTCACTCATGAGTAGTCGTGGGGCATTTATACGGGCCGTGTGTGGTGCGCTGTAAGAGGTGGGGCTTGTTGGCATCTGCCACCAATTTACTGCATAAATATTTACCAAGCACGTCATACACACTACACATGAAGCAGGTGCTGGAGGCAGCCTGTGTGTCCAGCCCATAAATATTTATTGAGCACCTACTGTAAACCAGACACAGAACGCCAGATGGAATGGGAAAATTCTCCCATGGAAGTTACAGCCATGAGCCCCACACAGCGGCTGTGGGAAAGCCAGTCCCAGTTCTGTTTTATAACAGCTCATTTTTGCCTTAATCCTACCTTAAAGGCTGCATTTGAATACTTGGCTTTCTAGATTAGGGAGTTTTAGCTAACAGGACTAATCAGCCCTGCTTCTATTAATTAGGTACACTCCCAGAGCTGGATTGCTTCAAAACAAACATGTGTACACACAGTCTATGACCAGGAAACAAAAGGATGCCTTATGAAATGAAAACCAAGGCCCACAGCCCATTACTCTTAGGCCTTTTATCATGGACGTGCTTGCTCAACAGCATCAGAACTGCGCGGTGTTTGGCAAATGAGGCCTGTGATGCACTGCGACATGACATAGTTTATCTTGCTGGTGACAAGCCACAGGGACGAGCACATGGATCTCGGGCACGGCCTGTACTCCAGGGCTGCAGAGATGTCAGCAGGGCAGTTGCTCCGGCCCCACTTCCCAGCTCCCTGAGAGGAAGCAGGGCCTGGGGTGTTTGCAGGGCTCCCTGCGAGGAAGCAGGGCCTAGGGTGGATGCAGGGTTCCTTGAGAGGAAGCCCTTGGGGCTGGGTTGTTTTGGGGCAAGCTTTGGAGCACCCTTAGCCAGCTGGCAAAATATGCACTTTTGAGGGGCTGGTCTCTGACGTTTTAATCAGAAAGGCAATCTTTTCTTCCTTGAGGCCTTCACTTTCCTCTGCAGGAGGGTTATAAGGAAGCCATGCTTGGTTTCTACCCAACACCTTTGGAGCTGTGACTTGGGTATCCCTAGGTCCTCTCTACCTTATGTGATCACTGCTCTTAGGCACCCAAATATCAACCACCCATGTCCCAGCCTGCTTCCTTGCAGGGAATTGGGTGTCCACGCCCAGAGCCATCCTACACCTTACCTTGCTGAATCCTAGCTCCTCCTCACTGTCCATCCCAGTTTGAAGGCCAACGGGCTGCTGGGAATGGACTATCTGGGGGTTGGGGCCCTTCCTTTGAATCCCAAGGGAGTTGAGGGCCCCAGGTAATAGCTCCTGGTTGCAGAGTCGATAGAAAACAGTGCTGGAGAGCAGGGGCTTGGGGTCCACTGGGGCAGAGTCCTAGCTCTGTTGTTGTCAGGCTGCGTGACCTGGGAAATGGGAATGCCCGGGCCCCCCACATCGGGCTGTTGTGAGGATTCAGTAAGAGATGTGCCCATGGGCTTTGCACGGGCAAGGCGCCGGTAAGGGCTCAGAAATGATGGCTGCTCCTCCTCTATTACTGGGCCCAATTTGCTGAGGAGCAGCAAGCGGAAAGCTGCCCGGGATGGGAAGCCCGTCATCTCTCCTCCCTCCTGACTCCCTCACTAGACAGGCCTGTGTGGCCCAACTACTTTTTCTCCTGCTTGTTGCCGTTTCTAGATTTTCTTCCAATTTAGGGTCAATTGATTCTCGTCAGAAACAGATGCCCATTACCATTTCCTCCCGCATGTTTATTTAGAAAAAAATCAATCGCTGTGCTCCATATAATCAAATCTATTTGCTCTCCATGCTCTGACAAGAACGGCTCCCTCCCTCCCCCTCTCCAGACTAGGAGCCCTCTTTTGCCGGTAGGCTACGGCCACCAGTTGGCAAACCCAGTTCTCACGTCTGGGTACGGTCGTGTTGAAACTGGTGACCTCGTCCTGCTACAAAACCACTCCTGGCCAGATGGGACTGCATGCTGGGGTTTTCCTTCTGGGCTTAGATAAAGATCAGTTTGGGGGAAGGAGAAGATAATCTTGCCGAGTCTAGCCCCCTCTTCCCCCAAGACGGTAACATCTGGTCCTGGCATGCGGGCCAGCGGCAGAGATTCAGAAGAGGAGTGCAGATGGAATTCATGGGGCAGGAGGTGAGGGAGGGGCCCTTGGGGAGGGTCTGCATGGGTTAGTACTGGAGGGACCCTTTGGGCTTCTCTGGGGTGGACATTTATACTCAGGTGCTAGGAAGTTGGTGTGTACACTGGACACGTGGTGTCAACCAGCTCCTAAGGACATGCCACAGCAGAACCACCTGATGGTTAGGCCAGGTCAGCCCAGTCGGGCAGAGACATCTCACCCTTGCTGGTCCTTCCTCATGAACCTTGTGAGGCACTGACCTCTTCAGAGCTGCCTGCTGCCCTAGGCCAAGGTTCACAGCCAGCTGACCCCTCCAACACTGGCAGGCCGGAGAAACCACGGAGGTGGGTCCTGCTGGGTGGTACTGTGGCAACTTCTCCTGTGTGCCCCACCTGTCACAGCTGAGAGTCTGCTGTGAGCTCACGGGCTTCTAGCTTCTCACCATGGCAAATGACCAGCAGACACCTCCGGGTCAGGAGGGTAAGCAGATGTTTGAAAGTCATCTGGGGAGAAAAGGGTGTCCCAGTCTCCAGGGCCCACTTCCTGCTGGGGCCAGAAAGGCCGGGCCCTCCTGCCTTTTCCCTGCATTTATTTACAAGCTGGCCAGATGCTGGCAGCATGGTGTAGCAGGGGCTTCTGGCCCTGGGCACTGGGGGTGCACGTGGAGGCACTGCTAACAAAGCCAGGGTGAAGGAAGTCCTGCAAGGGAGGGTTGCTCAGGGTGTGACTGCTGGAGAGGTGGCAGGGCATGCGCAGGAGCAAGCAGGGCTGGGGAGCCGGAACGGCGTGGTTGGGCTGGAGTGAGCTGGTCGGCCAACAGGGTGAACAAAAGCAGGAGCGCAGTAGGGCGGCCAGGCAGGTGGGGCGGCCAGGCAGGGCCTCGCAGCTCGCAGGTCGTGAGGAAGTGTGGGAGGGCCCGGGCATGTGGAGCGCTCCGCTCACACGTCCTTTATCCTTTCTCCCCTTTACTGAGGCCCCTCACCCTGCCTGGCCTGCGCTGAATCGTGGGGCTGCTGGCTGGGAGCCTTAACGCCTTCTCTATCCCAGGAGCAGCTGTGCTTTACGTGAGTGGCAAGAGAGGACTTTGCCTAAATGCCAGTCACAGTCATAGTCCATTACTGAGCTCCTCTAGCGCCTCCTAGCGCTGGGGAGGAGTGCTGGACGCCAGAACAAAGCCCCTGCTGGTGGGATTGCTGCCCCGTGGGCTCCATCACTTTAGACCCCAAAGTTTAAATTCACTAGGAAGTGTTCTGATGCTTCATCTCTAGCAAGGGCTGCCCTCTTGGTGGCTCCCTGCCCTCTGTCTTTGCCTTTGCCATTGAATTCTGCAGGGATTGTGGGGGGTGGAGGGAAACTCCCTACCCTTTTCCAGCCCCCAGAGTCGGACTGCCCTGAGGCTAACTGCTGCTTCCAGCTCCTTCCGCAAGGCGAGATTCCCCCAGAGGCAAGTCTTGGCTTCCAGGGTGGGTGCCTTCTAGCGAGGCATGTAGAAGTGATAGTTTACCAAGTCCCCATTTTATTTTTTCATTCCTGACACCCCCCCTTCACTGTACGGTCAGAGAGGAGTGGCTTCCCCATGTGGAACACCAGGCATTTGTAAGCCTGCCAGTCCTGGTTTTCAGCTAAAGGCTCCCTGTCCTCTTCCTCTCTGAAACATCGTCTTGTTATAAAAGAGACACTTGCCTGTCAAAGAGCACTTGGAAAGCGCAGATGAGTATAAAGAAAGAGAAAATAAATCATCCATAATCCACCTCCCAGAGGCTGCTGTTGTCAACACACTGCTGGCCTGAGGTGAAGCTGGCCCCCCTGCACAGGGGACATTGAGCCCATTCGGAGACATGCTCACCCAGGTGGCTGGCTCCTGTCTGCTGCGGGAGGGCTCTGAGGCCAGGGCCCCACAGTCTCTGCTTTCTGATCTCCCTCCGGCCCTTACCAAGTCCCACTCGGTGCGGGTCAAGTCTTATCGTCACACGGGTGCCCCCTGCTCACCCACCCAAGTCCCTGCAGTGACTGCAGGAGGTGGGGTGTGGGGTGCTGTGAGATACTGCAGCACTGACCGCAGGCATGGCCACTGTGGTCATGAGCTTTGCCCACGCCTTTATCCACATGTCTTCCTCGTTGGCTTCTCCTAGAACGCAGCACACACACCACCTGTCTAAACCAGCACCTCCCACCTTCATTCCTCTCTCTGCCCTGCCCTGCCCTGCCTGTGGGGGCTTCCATCCCAGGGAGTGGGGACCACGTCTCTTGTGCTACTGCAAGGTCCAGTCGTAGCCTTGGTCCTCGAGACACTTGGCTGCTTCTCAGGGAAGGTCCCTGGAGGATGTGTGGCAGAGGCTCGGGAACCACAACACCCCTCCCTGGTGACCCTGGGGGTGCTGATGAAGAGGATGCCGGGAGTGGAGCTGGCTGGTCCTCACCGAGGAGCCCTGCACAGGCCCAGCTGGGGTGAGGAGACTCCCAGTGCAGCTGAACTTCCACCCTGACTGAGGTAGGGGTGGAGAGGCTTCCAGAGAGCAGGTAGGAGGCTAGTGCCTACTCTGGGGTCTGTGCCGTGGCCTTGGCTCACCAGGGACTGCAGGCTGCACCTGTGAAGGACCTGCCCTCTTCCAGGAGTAGGCCTGGCACCACCTGTACCGCGGCTTCCTCGCGCATGCTCTAAGGGCATTTGGATGTTTCGTCTGTGAATTGGTGGATTTCAGGTCAAGAGAAATTTGTGTGGTCTCAAGAGGCAGCCAGGGTGAGGGGACCACCTTGTCACCACCTCGCCTGGGCCTTCAGATGAGACAGACGTCATCCGAGGCTGCCATGTCT